TATGTCACAAGGACTCATATGAGGGTGAATCAGCCAGCAGGGACACAGACAGTATTTTAAAAAAAAAACAGACAGAGACTCTAACCCTTCCACATTCTATTCAAAAGCAAACACATTTTGGCTTCACATGATCTTTGAGGGGGCTTATACTGCTATGTGTCCACACAGGAGTCACAAAACTTTCACCCAAGATTTACACATTTTTCTAATTGCATTCAATTGCATTAAACAGACCCCTAGGGATTGGGAAGGGGAATCAATGTAAGGGATAAAATTCTGGCCAGGTACCATTTATTCTGGTTGTCAGTGCTGGGGGCTTCATCCTGAATAAATCTGGCGCTGGGAACCCAGCACTGATGACAAATTCTTCCTTCTCACTTGGCAGATTCCCCCCATCGCTCTTTTTATTGCATTGTTAACTCATTCATTAGGAATTGCCCCCGGCTACAATTTAAAATAAAAAATGACTGGAATTAAATATTGATTTGTAATAAAGAACGGGGACACATTCATTGAATATTTATATTAGGTCCATATTTTACTGTCGCTGTGTCCACATCCTTAGAAGAAAACGTCTTCTATCCATAGCCGCATTCAGTCTGTATTGCTCACTGACTGTGATTGCCATTAGTGGCCCACATGGAAGAAAAATATATTTTAAAATATATTCTTCCCAAATATATGGACATATATGTGAAATGCTACAATTTTGGCCATATTCAATATATTTAAAAAAAAAAAAAAAAAAAATATATATATATATATATATATATATATATATATATATATACACACTGCATGTTGAAATGCATTTTTTATATATTACAAAATAGATGAAAAATATTTTTAAAAATATGTATTTTTTTAATTATATTGTTCAGATTTTTTTTAACATATAAAAAACTTATGTTAACGTATATTTTTACATATATTTGAAAATGCATTCCACAAATGTAGATTAGGATTTTTAAAGACATGCAGTAAATTTGAAAAGTTATTTTTATAAAATATCCTCATATATTTTGTAATAAAACTGCATTTCAACATACAGTGTGTGTGTGTGTGTGTGTGTATATATATATGTATGTGTATGTATATATATATATATATATATATATATATAAATATATATATTTGAAATATATTGAAAATGACCCAAATTGTGGCATTTCAAATATATGTCAATATATTTGGGAAGAATATTTTTAAAATATATTTCAAATATATTTTTTTTCCATATGGGGGGGCTTGAAGGTGAGATTCACACTATGGCGTTGTGGTAAGATGTGTGTTAGGATGCAATTTATGGCAGCACCCGTTAAATGTTTCAGGAAGATGTGGTGATATTCATTCTGAACATTGCATTGTTGCTGACAGATCATGACGCGTACACCGATATTCGGCAGAGCATCGCACCACAACATGTCAGCACAATGCACATCCATTGAACAACAATGAAAGGCACTGCATGGCACCAATGCATTTGATGTGCACTGCATGCAGCAATAGGTAGTGCAGGCGATCCATGTGCAGGCAAAAGGGTCGAGCGAAGCTGAAGACTGGCTGGGGGGGGGGGGTAGAAGCGAACTGATGACAGTCCTCTGCAGTGTGTGAGACCACGGTGGGCCCCATCTCCCCTTGGGGTCCATGCGCCCTGCACACTTTGAGGATAGGCAACTGGATCTGACAATCTCATAGTATGAAGGACTTTCCTTTCTGAGAACACTGATGTGGTCCAGAATTCACAGCATTTTCAGTGCGAATTCCGCACCAGCATTAGAATCGCACCCCTGTTCGTGCAAACTGCTGCGGGTGTGTATGCTAAGTTAGCAACACCCCGAAAGCGGTCTGCAAAATGCGGTGCGATGTGCAGAATCGGATCACAAAGGTGTGACTACACCATGAATCCGATTCTAGTGCGGACCAAAAAAAGGGTCCTGCACATTTTTGGTGTGGGTGTGGGGAGATTAGAGCCATCCAATTGCAATCCACACACAAATCGCATGTGATTTGCCCAGGAAATGCGGTGCGGTTCCTGTGAGAATCACATGCGATGTACCGCACCACATATATGTGAACCCGGGCTTAAAGCTGAACTCCAGGATACGTAAAAGGTCCTCCCTTACAGTAAGGCTGCCCTCGGCACTTCAATGGTTAACTCTTTAGTTATGTCTAGGGGCTTCAAAACCTGGTTTACCTACCTGATCCTCCACTTCTACAGGCTCCCCCCAGGCTGCAAGACCGATTCCCCTATGCCATTAGGGTTGCCACCTCATCCCTTTTAAACCTGAACATATATTAATTACACAGGTTCTGGGGCTGATTAAGGTGGCAATTAAAAGCACTTAAGTGCCGTATCTGCATTAAATTAGCATCGAAAACTGTGTAAGCCCCCGGTCACACTGGCGCGATTTGGCATGCGAGGTGACATGCCAGGTGACTTGCAAATCGCACCCTATGCCAATTAGAGCGGTCATACTGGTGTGGTTCCGACTTGGTCCGACTACCGATTTCTAAAGTAGTACATGCACTACTTTTGATGTGATTTTTCGTGTCAGATGTCTTGCAAATCACAATGAAATCAGCAAGTCACCCAATTTTGAAATCGTGCGACTTCACTGTAACAGCTTTGATGTGACCGGGGGGGGGGGGGGGGGCAAATAATTTATGTTCGGTGTTTCAAAGGGATGAGGTGGCAACCCTATATGTCTCGATGGTCACCGATCTTCTGATGTCATCAGGACCAATGCAGAGCCCTTAGCCATCCAGAGGGTGCCAAGGGTCAGTCCACTGCCAGGAAGTAGGGGAGTAGAGGGAGAGGACTGGCTGCCGGGAGTAGTTAACCTTTATAGTGGAGTGGTTCTAAAGGGTTAAAATTTGCAGGTAAAAAATTGTGTAACAGAAACTAAGTAAAAAACTTTTTTTTTCAAAATGTTGTCTTTTTTTTCATTTGTTTAGCAAAAAATATTAAACACCCCATGATGAGTAAATACCACCAATAGAAAGCTCTTTACGGCTCAGAAAAATGATAAATAATTCATATGGGTACAGTGTTGCATGACCGCGCAATTGTCATTCAAAGTGCGACAGCGCTGAAAGCTGAAAATTGGCCTGGGCAGGAAGGGGGTGGAAGTGCCCGGCGTTGAAGTGGCTAATGGTGGTATCTTTCTAGGATTCAACTCGCTGGTTGGCGGCATCATGGGATTCTCGATTTTGATCAGCGCCGAGGTTTACAAGCACCACTCCTCCGTCTGGTATCTGGATGGGACTGTCGGGATTCTGATCGGACTGATCATCATGAGCTATGGGGTCAAGTGAGTGCAACTCTAACCTGAAGTCATTAAATGTTGGCGCCTGAGGCCCCCGAAAGTGAAGGAACATCTGTATGAAGCCAACCATGAATGGCCTTGTTTGATCCCATGGATAATGGGGGGGCTGGCCCTGGTATATGGGGCTCTGGTGTTTCGGTGCAGCTGGACAGTACACCTAGCTGTACGAATGTTTCATTCAGGATGTGCCCCGGGTGAACGCTTGGAAGGCAAACTTCTTCTGTCCCGTCATCCTTCCCTGGTGCAGACTGGCCCACACCTTAGTACCACTAGGTGCACCATCCAACCAGCTCCATCTATAAACTGAAATCGTGGCCCGGGGCTCAATGCCCAGCATGCACGGGGATTCTGGGTGTGGCAGACAGACTTCCATCCCCCGCCCAATCTGAGCACCCTAATGACCAGTGAGTGGGTGGGAGGAGTTTATTGAACGGGGTGGGGTTTAACACATAGGTTTGGGTAGATGGAAAAAAAAACTGGATCAGAGAGGGACACAGAAGCAACTCTTCGGGCCCTTAGGCTGGACTTTCACTTTCAAGGTTTTAAAATGTTCGACCGGTTTACTTAAAGTTGAACAATGGATGGAATTCCATATGGTACAGTCTATGTGATGGAGCGATGGCTCCGCCCTGAGGTATTGTTGGGATGGGCGTATTCTCTGGCAAATCATAGGAGCGAGTACACACTGCACATGTGCGGTCCGAAGGAGCAGGACAGCACTTCTCCCCATGGCATTAGGGGGCGCTGGTGCCAACGACTGCTCTGGGCCATCGCTGGCCACAGAGGATTTTCAGATGCTTCTTATAATATGTTGTGGATCACATTGTGTAAGCAGAGAGGGCCCTGTAACATGGTTTAGTATATTATGCAGATATACCCGTAGGGGGCAGTATAGTCTACTTTTGTTTTTTAAATGGACTTTAAATGCCAACTGGACTTTCAGTTTAAATCAGACAGATACATTCCCGGAGCTTCCGAACAAAAGTTGTGCTGAGTTTCTTTTCTATAGGAAGCAGCCACAGCCAGAGTGGAAAAGCCTGAGCCATTCCAGCCTGCTGCTCTGTGGAAGCAGTGGTCTCTCTGCTGAGTGAAAGCACGGAGCACAAACGTTCCTCATTGCAGAACGTGGACTCAGTAGTGGGAACCTGCAGAAAGACTACTTTTTCCACACAGACAGCAAGGGTCCTTTCTCTACAGCAGGAATCTCCAAACTTTATATCTAAATAAAGTGCCAGTTTAGGGGGGCAGATTGTGGCCTTTGGGATTAGAAAGTGTCCTGGTGTCAGTGGGAGTAAATAAATGCTTCTTTGGTATTCAGAGTTGGAATAATGCACCATATTTGGTGTCAGTGGGAGGAATAGTGCCCCATCATTGGTGTCAGTGGAATAAATAGTTCCCAATTGTCAGTATCAGTGGTAGGAATAGTGCCCCATCATTGGTGTCAGTGGGAGGAATAGTGCCCTATAGTCAAAATCAGTATCAGTGGGAGGAATAGTACCCCATTGTTGGTGTCAGTGGGAAGAATAGTGCCCTATCATTGGTGTCAGTGGAAGGGATAGTGCCCCATTGTTGGTGACAGTGGGAGGAATACTGCCTCATCGTTGGTGTCAGTGGAAGGAATACTGCCCCATCGTTGGTGTCAGTAGAAGGAATACTGCTCCATTGTTGGTGCCAGTGGAAGGAATAGTGCCCCATCATTGGTGTCAGTGGGAGGAATAGTTCCCCATTATTGGTGTCAGTGGGAGGAATAGTTTCCCATTGTTGGTGTCAGTAGAATGAATAGTGACCCACCGTTGGTGTCAGTGGGAGGAATACTGCCCCATTGTTGGTGTCAGTGGAATGAATAGTGACCCATGGTTGGTGTCAGTGGGAGGAATATTGCCCCATTGTTGGTGTCAGTGGAAGGAATAGTGCCCCATTGATGATGTCAGTGGGAGGAATACTGCCCCATAAATTGAGTTAGTAGAGGAAATAGCGTCCCACCATTGGCATTAGTGGTAAGAATAGACCCATAATTGGTGTCAGTGGGAGGAATAGTACCCCATCGTTGGTATCAATGAGAGGAATAGTGCCCCAATGTCAGTGGGAGGAATAGTGCCCCATCGTTGGTGTCAGTGGGAGGAATACTGCCCCATCGTTGGTGTCAGTGGGAGGAATACTGCCCCATCGTTGGGTCAGTGGGAGGAATAGTGCCCCCAATAGCCAGATAAAGGCAAGCAAAGCACCATAGTCGGCCCCCGGGCCGCAGTTTGGAGAACACTGCTCACAGTACGCTGTCAGGGGTTAGACTTTAATCAAATGCATGTTACATCAGAGCTCATTGTCCTTTCCTTGTTCCCGCAGACTGTTATTGGACATGGTTCCCCGAGTCAGACAGACGCGTCACTACGAGATGTTCGAATAAAGCCACAGGCGGACTCTCCATTGCCAGCGGTGGCCACAAGTCATACACGGTGTTTTATCCCCTACAAGTATTTCTGGCTATAACTGGTGCTCATTACAGATCAACAAACTAAACGTGACCGAAACGATCAAACTGACATTTGTGGGAGCGGCCTGTGAAGACTGACCCCCCCCCCTCCCCCCCCTCCCCAGTATGAAAGAGTTTTATTTTGGAACGTTCCAGCACAAGCCCCTGCGTGAACAGACTGGCGGAAGCGGCCTCTGCTGCAAGTGAACATGGAAACCATCTGCGACCGCGGATATGTCACGCCGGAGTCACGCTCTGTAAGAGAACAATATACACAGCCAATGACGCAAAGAGTATTTTTCTATCTATAGCTATACATATATATGTGTGCACAATAGTCTGACCGACGCGTTTCGGCACTTCGCTGCTCCCCCATCATGCCAACACAGAAGATTTGAGGAGCACAAAGGACAAAGCAGCTACACAGCCATTCATCCGATATAAATATTCATACTATTATTAAAGGAGATCTCCGGTCTGAAAGAGGGAATACGAAATCCAATCATGTCCCGTGCCATCCCAGAAATACTTTTCATTGTGCAGACACTTCCTCCTGCTCTCAGTCTGGTCCTTGACCTTTAACCTATCACTTTTTTTTTTATAACCTATCCCTTAAGGACCCTTAATACTGAGCCTGCTTCCTAATTTAATAAAAAAAAAATAAATTGCAGAGCTATTCATCCTGCAAAGGTTACGAGGCTATTTTCTCTCCAGGTTGAATGTTATTCATTTATTAAAAGCAGCTTGGGAAAATACCACATTATGGTCACTAGATGGAGCTGACGATCACAGCAAATACGTATTTATTTATAAGGAGAAGGGGATTTAAAAAGAGAAATACAGGGCTATTTTTCCTGAGAACTTGCACTTACATTCAGGCTGGGCCAATGCTGGCAGAATCAAATGTCGCTCGGCTATTTTCTCTCCAGGTCAGATGTTCTTCATTCATAAGAATAGCATGAACCAGGAAAATACCGCATCATGGCCACTAGATGGAGCGCACAACTGTAGTAAGTATTTATGATCATCAGCGCCATTTAGTGGCCATAATGTGGTATTTTACTTCATTCTTTTTTTGAAGAACATTCAAGCTGGAGAGAAATTTTCTTAATAACATTAGATTTTGACTCCTGTTCGCACAGAAGGAATGTATATGCAGGATAAACAGATCTGCACATTTTTTGTTTATATAAATACCCCCTTTTAACAATCCTAAACACCCCGAGCCCCAACCCTAATCCTTGACCATAACACTAACCCCTAGGTAGCTCACTTACCCCTATCAGGTGTTGAATGGTAAAATCACTTTTCCACCTCTTCATGCTGACAACTTCTGGCCCATTCAGGCTTCGCACCCATTTCTTTTTTGGGTCTAAATGTCTGAACTGCGCAAGGCATCCAAACAAGCCCCCTTTCTTTTCTCAAGTCCTGAAATACAAGACTGTCAGAAGTGCACTATATAAAAGATTTATATGGCAGATTTGTACCAGCTCTTACACTATGAGCCTGATATCAAATTTCAGCTTGTGTGTAGAGTATGACAGGAATGAAATATAAGGAAGGGTTCAAGATAATTACACTTGGCACCAAGAAAAAAATATTTTGTAACTATTAAAATGCATTTCTATCTAATTTAAGTATCATATTTAACTACCTGCCTGTCTCTTTGGCCATCACATTTGCCTGAAGTCCATTCTAACTGACGAGCCTGCAGTGGAGTGATGAGTGATGGGCAATATTTGGATATTAGGATTTATAAGGCCCAGAGAGACCCTAAGCGGATCTGGAGCTCAAGATTTTCAGAATGAGTAATTGCATGTCCAAGACTGACATCTTCTGGCCAGCTGGCAAACTGCAGGCTTTTTTATTATTATTTATAATTTTTTTTTACGTTTTATTTTTGTTAGTTTTGAGAGTAACAAATAGACATGCATGACGAAAAAAATTTGCTTCGAATTTTTTATTCATTCATTAAGTAAATAATTTTGTTTCGCCAGAATCATTTTGTTAGAATGATTCGTTTTCGGAATTCATTACGTATATTCAGATTCATTTTGTATATTCGTTGTAGCGAATTGAATAGTAACAGGATGACTAAAAATTCAATGTACAAACCTGCTTTAATGTGTCACTCCCTTGATGGTCGGATGAGCGAGGTGTCGCTCCCTTGCTATTATAAAAGCTGCACAGGTTACCAGGGAGCGAGGTCTGACATTTCCAGACAACAAGGGAGCAACACATGGAAAATCATTCCTGGGAAAAGCCTGCAGCAACAACCAGCTGGTTAACTGGTATCTGTATAGACAAGAGCAGGGCTCTCCAAACATTTCATCATTAGGGGCCACAATATATATTTTACAAATGATCATTGGCCCAAAAAAAAAAAAAAAGTCTTATAAATGAATAAATGCTATTTAAATGAATACGTTTTTACTTGGAGTTTTTATTCACAATCAGCATGATATGATTTACAACAACAAGAAAAACTTTAGTAAAACAAAAAAAAATCCAAATAAACAAGCCCATCAAAATTTCATTTACATTAGATTCTCCATTAAAGTCCCCCCTACATCAAGGTCCTCATCAGTCCTCATCAGAGCCCCCCCTACATTAAGGTCCTCATCAGAGAGCCCCCCCCCCTCACCACATCAAGGTCCTCATCAGAGCCCCCCCCCCCACATCAAGGTCCTCATTAGAGCCCCCCCCCCTTAGCCCCCATTAGGGTCCCCATAGAATTCCCTCTTAAATCAAAGACCCCCCTACATCAAGGTCCTCATCAGCCCCCCCCCCTTCAAAAAACATCAGTGTCCCCATCAGCCCCCCCCCCCCCCCCACATCAGATCCTCCCTTACATTAGGGTCCCCATCAAAGTCCCTTATTACATCAGAGCCCCCCCTACATCAAGGTCCTCAGCCCCCCCCCCCACATCAGGGTCCCCATCAGATCCCCCTTACATTAGGGTCTCCATCAGAGTCCCTTATTACATCAGAGTCCCCCCTACATTAAGGTCCTCATCAGCCCCCCCACCCACATCAGGGTCCCCATCAGAACCTCCCTTACATTAGGGTCCCCATCAAAGTCCCCTATTACATCAGAGTCCCCCCTACATCAAGGTCCTCATCAGCCCCTCCCCCCTTGTCAGGGTCCCCATCAGAGCCCCCCTTACATTAGGGTCCCCATCAGAGTCCCCTCTTACATCAGAGTCCCCCCTACATCAAGTTCCTCATCAGCCCCCCCCCACATCAGGGTCCCCATCAGAGCCCCCCTTATATTAAAGTCCCCATCAAAGTACCCTCTTACATCAGAGTCCCCCCCTACATCGAGGTCCTCATCACAGCCCCCCCCCCCCCTTACATCAGGATCCTGTCTTAAATCACAGATAAAATCTTGTAGCCGGACGTGGTTTGGAGACCCCTGGAGAAGAACACATGTCACCAGCACACCAGGGATCCATATCGTCCAAACATTTATTGACGCAATTAAAATTGGTGTAAGTGCAGCGTTCCAAGAGCACGCAGGACCCCTTCAAGTGTGCCCACTAGTGTGACATCCATCTTGGTCAACACTAAAACAATATAGTGTACAATCCGCCGCAAAGTGAAGGGAACATATTGCCGCCAACCATACCCCAAATACATGGGCAGGACATCAACATCTGACCCTCAATTTACAGACTGGAGATCTTCTTCATTAATAACACCAGAGAGAAATACAGTCACATCCTGGCTTGGTGTCCCTAACAATCGAACTTTACAACGTTGTCTCTGTAGATTCAGAATCGCCTCTTCGGGAGTTTGTAACGTTGTTGTTGAAAGGTGGTACAATGGCTTCTGTTGTGTGTATTGTGACTGTATGTAGAGGGTTCTCATTGTACAGACGTGTAACTACTTTACATATATATATATATTTTCTGTGATGTATTATATACAGGGTCTTATAATGCAAATGAGGGGCTAAAGCAATACAGAACTTCCCCAGATATTATATGTCATATGTATTGCACAATGAATTAGTATAAAGCACAACAACTGTGTGTTTTTATTAATAATAACTTGTTAAAAATAAAATATATTCAGTCTAAGCACAGCGGAAGAATTTTAAAGGCATACGCTGCCTTCATTTGAATTTAGAAAGGAAAAAAAAAAATGGAAATCCCTAATTAGCGGAAATTCCTGATTGGGTAGGTCCTCCTGTGTAGTATCATGGAGGGGTTTTCACTTCCCACCTCTCCATAGCATGGAGCACTCGTGTCTAGGGGCAGACTGACAACTCATGGGGATCATGGGGCCCCTGTCTCCTTGCCCACACTCAAAAAACACCCAAAAAAGCCTATAAAAAAGGTACCAGGAGAATTTCATGGGGCCCCCTACTGACCCGGGGCTCTCTGGGAGTGCCCGAGTGCTCGAATGGTCAGTCTGCCCCTGCTCGTGTCATGTGATTAGAGGAGTGAAGATTGGCCACTAAAAGATGACCTCGCCAAAGAGAAGTGATGCAATAATAGGTTCCTCCAGCAGGTGGAGCTTCAAGTGAATCTTTTTTCTCAAGCCAAACAGGGACCCTAAGAAAGGTGCACCCCTCCAAGCTCCTACACTGATTGGTCCTAAAGTGTTTTTTTTTTTTTTTTTTTTTTTAAGCACTTTACAATTACTTTTGTGTGTCCTTCTGCA